GAATCAGTTTGTGGCGGCACTGTGTGGGTCGTGCATTGGTCGTGTGCGTTCTTGGCTTGACTTAAGATATAAAATATAAAGATCTCTTAAGTGCAATTTAAGACGAAGTAGCCAATCAAAGCACAGTGACATTTCTTAGCGGGCAACTTGATTTATAACTTGTATTTAGATAATGCCGTATTGTGAAGTCGTATGAGTCATTATTTTAATCGAGAGACAGTACCCTCATTATTTACAGTAGAATGCATGGTCATGTTTTCTTTCTTGGAAGAGGTTATTAAGTTCGCTTTAATTAACATTTTAAGATTTATTGACCCAAATGCCCAATGTTGGCATCAGCTTCCCATTCTATAAGATGTCACGAGTTTTTCAAAACGATTACGCAATAAGTAACTACAAATAATTAAATATATGTAAATGATCTTCACTTGTCCATTTTCCCACGTTATGTCGGCTGCTTTCGTCTCCAACGATTATGATTGAATAGACTTAACAGTTGCTAGATCAATCATAAACTGCAAAACTTATGAGTCGTTAAGTAAACGGAAAATAAGTAAAAGTCTTAATGCTTCAGTCTTTAATCGTAAACACACCCTAAGGTGGCCGCCTAACTGACACACGAAGAGCGCTGAAGAATATTTGCAATGCAGGAATTTTTGCCAATATTATTAAACGTTCCTCCAATTTGTTTACCTACGAAAAGAAAACATATCGCACACAGACGATGACAGAATAGCACTTTCAAGACACCTCACATGCTATTGAAATCCTCCAATGGGGATTAAACGCTGCCGTTTCTTAAAACACGCTACCAGGGGACGAATTGCGATAGGAGCCTCTAGCACGAAAACAACTCTGTGTCGAACGCCTTAATAGTGGGATGGAGTCACTTCTTTTTGCCGTGCCAGGTGTCAGAAATGCGTGTAGCTCTATTGTCGTGGTTAAGTTCTTTTTCCACCGCTCACTAGTTGTGATGCGGTAGTGCGCCTTATCTCACTTGTCACATCAGCGCCAGCGCGCATAGGAAGTTCTCGTTTTTTCGAACGGTCAGCAATATGCGGCCTACAACGAATGAACTCGACTTGACGCGGACACCCAGAGGCGTTGCAATAAATTAATTGGGGGGGGGGGGGGTACTAATATATATGTGCAGTAAATCTTGGACTAAAGAAATATAAATGTGTACATCTGTGAGAAAAAAGACGTATTAAATATTACTATAAATGTATTATGAAATGAAACGCTTGATATTCACCATATTATAATAAAGTCGTTAAAATTTGCACACGCTCCTTCCCTTTGTATGTCTCAATAAATTAAAAAAATTTATATCGATGTGTTCTTCCAAACATGTCCAAAATTTATTCAGGTTAACTTTTATATATCTACGTACTATGAGCAATGCTAACCCATCCAAGTGGTTTTCTGACATACTGTTGAGCAAATATGATTTAATTTTACATAGTGTGGAAAAATACCTCTCACTTGATGCTGTAGATCATAGATGTGCGAACACGGGGAAAATATATTATCCCACATCTTGAGTGTTTCAATAAAATCATTTTTATGAAATATTTGGTCGTCGTCTTCTAGCTACTTTTTTCGCCACATCTGTACTTCACTAACAGCTTCAGATGCAGATTTATCTTGAGAATACTGCCGCAGAAGAGTTTTTATATCATTTCTGCAAGGTCAGTACATTTCCTTGGGAGAAGAAATTATAATGACCGCAAAATATTCTTATGAAGCAAGAACTTGTGATAATTTTATCCAACAAAGTGATGGATATTCACTTCCTCAAAAATTATTCAAAACCAGCTGTAGCATAGTTCGAACACTGAACTTTTTTTTCAGAAATTGTGATTTCAAAATTTTCTAGTACCCATTTAATTGCTGCAAAAATAATTATAAATTTGGGGGTGACTTCATTGCGTAATGCATTCTTAATATGAAGAGATCGTACTTCTTAGATCGCAAAAATGAGAAAAATTAAATTTTAGGCTAAATATTTTTAACATATATTAAGTGCAATTAGTATAAACATAGTGTGGTGCAAAGGATGATTTAGTGATTTTGTAGTAATTTCTGAGTTTATTGAACAAAAAACAATGAATCTCGACGCTCAACCCATCGAATTTCACACGTGTGAATATGTGCCTAAAGAATAACACCACTTCCGTCACTGTCCCTATGTAGTTTTGAATTTCTATTGCACACAAGCTTGAATCAAGGTTAAATTTAAATAATGGCTTGCACAATGTAATACTCAGCTGTGTGATGAGATTAGCAACCCCATAAAGTCCCGTTTATGCTTGCTGTGCTACCATATTCATAGCTATACCAATAGTCTAAATTGACACACATTTTGTAGAGTCGCAGCTATTGTTCATGAAAGATCTGACCCGCGGAGGTCATATAATAGAAGAAATTTGAGACGGTATTCTCTAATAACACAACCGTTCTGTATTATCAACATACCGCCAACAAAGTGATACGGTTGATTCACATTTTCATTGTTCTCTTTCCATGCTAAAATGTCGAATCACATCTGGCACATAGGCAATAGTTTTTCAGTATTAGAAATTATGCTATAATTTCTAAAAAAAAAAGTTGGTGTGTAGGGTAAAAACACAAGGCGGGCTTTTTATTAACAGTCTACGGTAAATTACTAACCCGTCGGTAACAACTATAAAATGCCCGAGAGTTACATTTTAAAATAAATAAACGGGGTTCCAACACCCCCCCCCCCTTCCTTTATGGAAGGGGGTTGAAATCGGCTTCCAAATGTTTGTTTTCAACTTCCTTAATCAATAATGCATTATCCAGAAACTCGAAGAATTCACTCGTATTAGTCATTCTTTCTGAACTACTACCAATACACGTCTGCTTCTGTTACAGTTTCAAGGATGGCTACGCCCTTCTGAAACATAATCAGACTCTAGGTCGTAGGTATATTGTCTGCCTATTTATTGACGACGAATACTTACCGAAGCTTGTCAGTATATTTCAGTTTCATGTAGACTGAAAATAAAACCAAACACAACGTTTTTTAGTCGGCTAATGTATTTATGTATTCAGAAAGCAGCTCTAGTGCACAAGAGCACTTAGATAATTTTTCCTTAATTCATTTTCAAATAGCCAAACAGTCTTGGCAAAATATTCGGACAACCCTCACAGTTTATACTGAATTTCAGGAGGGAATATATCCCTATGATCCCCCCTCTTTTCCTACACCTCTGGACTTCCTTCCTTTCTACTCTTTATTCCCGTGATACAACAAACTGTATGTAATTGGTTCTCAATTTATGCTTACTAAGGGCCACACCAATAACTTTTTGTATACTGAGCTAGCCCAAATTTTTTTTTGGATAAATTAAAATATATTCAGAATAAAAGTAATTACATAATTATCTAGCAAATGCTTTTTAAAGGTTTATAAAAGTTAGGTGAAACATTGTAAAACAGTGTAGTCTTAGTCATAAATCAAATAGTAAAATGTGAGTTTCATCGTTAATAATTTGTACAAAATCTGAATTATAGGTTCTAGTAAGTTCTTTAACAATTCAGCTATAACAGATTGACATCCTTTGCGGGGCCATATTATACGTGCCTGTTGAGAACCACTGTTGCATGTAAATTACGTATACTTGTAATAGTTTACCTTAGGTTGATTTCTAACGAAACACATAATTCTAAATTACAAATAAAACATGCTTACTGATGTTAGAATGTTATTTACATTGTCTAAAAAATAAACTTTTTTCTTTCTGTAAATTGCAATATATTTTAAAACAAGACTATTGTACTGGAAACAAACAACTATGCATACCAAACATTATTACATTTTTCCATATAAAAGTTTTGAGAAGGGAGGCAGTAACAATGACATTTGCTGCCAGAAATGAAGCTTCTCGCCAATTACCTCCTTGTTTTATTCCTCACCTGTTCTTCTATTAGGTACACAGAATTTCTTATTGGCATTGACACAGCGTGTCGTGGGTCAATTAACTCGGTAAGAAGGCAGTTTATGTAAAACTTTCCCAATTTTGGTTTCATTTCGGTGTTTCAGAAGTGACGTGTAACTAGCTGTCCCAGAACTTGCAGATGAAAATTATGATCAGTTTTCATTTTCAAAATATTTCCTGCTATGTCAATATTCCTGGCAGCTTTTTGATTTTCTTTATGATTGCCTCTGTAGGTGTCATATGTGAAGCAAAAGACAGGCGTTTAATTTCAACAATGCTATCTTGGAGAACATGTCAATCAGGTGTGGTGCCGAAGAAGGGCATATCAGGATAAATAAATATCCGGAGTCTCTATTCTCCGGCACTTATTTTGCAAACTGTTCGTTTTCCCTTCCATATTTCATTCGTTTGGTGTCGGTTCTGTTTTACAATATAATTTCAACTGCTGAATCACAACTGGTGTATGGTTTCATGTTGCAAATTCTACCAAAATGAGGTGCTTTGAGTATTTTTCGTCTTTCTTTACATTCGCCTCTTTCTCTTTGCATGTCTGTTGCCTTTTCAACGCTTTGCCTTTCCATTTCACTTATTTATAATGAATCGAGGAATTCTTTGCATTCTCTGTCGAATGTCTCTGCATCCATATTTGGCTTTTCAGTATTGACGCCATAATATGTAATGGGAAGTGTCTGTGCAAAAAAAGACTTAAGACACTTTTGTGACTTTGTCCTTATAGTATTGCTGCCTTCAATTTTTACATTACGCCTGTATTCCATACTTCTGCAAAATTTAACTGGGCGTGTATAGTTTTTTTTTTTTTTTTTTTGTAATTTATACGACATGCTCGTGTTGTGTCGTGTGCATCTCCCAGCATAGGATCGTTTAGTGGAAAAGATAGGTAGGTAAGTGGGCTTAACGTCTCGTCGACGAGTTCATTAGAGGCGGTGCAAGTTGCGCATGGAAGAGGATTGGGAAGGAATGGGAAAGAATCGGGACCGATCCCAGCATTCACCTGGAGTGATTTTGGAAAACCGTTGACCGAACCGCGAATCGAACCGGGTCCTCCAGAATACGAGGCCAGTGAGTTACCACTGCGCCACCTCGCTCGGCGTTTAGTGGAAAAATTCTTTTACCACCGAAAAATTTGGTAATATATGAATTTTGGTGTTCTACATGGTTGTTGGTCACATTTGTATCAGACTTGTGATATGATTGCTTATTTGTTTTACTACACCTGAGATCTTAACGTGCACATAACTTTCAATATGTTCTGGTATATAAATGTGATGGCTACCATCCGATCTTCTGAAGTAATATCTCTTCGTACAAACTGAATGCTCTCCAAATATGTGGTTTGTGGTATTTAATATATCTTTCCTTTTTGCAATTTTTTTTGTGGCGTGGTCTTTCTTTTTTCTGCCTGTGTTGAACTTCTTTAAAAACAGCGGTCGTGAATCTAATGATGTTATCACCCAGCTTTTTTCTAATGACAATGCCGTTCTTCAGTTTGTTACTTGTAGTTGAAATATCCTTCGATTTAAAACAGAAATTACTTAGATGATTATTTGAATATTTCATTTCTTCTGGGGTGACATTTTTGTATGGGTGTGTATCCAAATTTTTTTTTATATACATTACTGTCACCATCAGCAATGAGTTTAGTATATTTTATTCCGTACGTTTCTTCACTCTCGCAAAATTCTTCGACAGTCAATGCTGCTTCCATACTTGATGAGCTTTGATTTTGACCCCAGTTCTAGACGTGTGTGTGACGATGGAGTTGTGCTCTTACTGCAACGAAAAGCAAAAGTTGTGCGGTACTTGTTCTTTACTCCGAAGAACAGGACCTTTCCCGTTCTAAAACCCAATATTGCAGCCTGTAACGGTAATCACAGTATCTGTTACTTGTTACCTAAAAGCGATACCGGAATTTATCGAACTACTAAAAATTCACTGTAATTCGAAGCTAATGAAGAATCTCTGTAATTAAAAAAAAATTAAAATAAAATATAAAATGTGTAATCTGTTTTTACATTTGACAACAAAATGTTACTGACATAAGAATACTGAAATACAACGAGTAAATTAGGCTAAGATTTTTGCATATTACACAAGAATAATAAAACTCTAAAGTGCTAGGAGACATAAGAACACCGAGAAAAGGTTTTGTTTGGACCAACAAAATAATTTTGGAATAGTTACTAAGGAAATCATCACTCCTATAGTAAAATATATTTTCGCCTGAACAAAATGTGACTAAAAACAATCCTGAGTATTTACAGCCATAAAAACATACACATGAATTGACTAGAACTTTTTGTTAGGAAGACATACTATGATTTAAAACTATTTTGTTTAAACTACTGTATTAACCCGGAACTGTTGTGCAAGCAAATGTCTTTCTCAGTGCACAAAACTGCAAACGGTAAGCGTAAACACATTACCGAGTTTTACTTTTAAAAATTTCCATTACACATTTTGTTTTTTCGTATCACGTTTACACTATTTGAAGTATCATTATATTATTATTTTATGATCATAATGTACACTCAATATAATTAAGATACTGAATCAAACTGTAATCTTTATATATTACACTCGTTAACTTCCAGAATAATTTGAAATATACATACGGACTACTAATAAGCGTTTTATTTGCTCTGAACGATCTAAACAGTCATGACCAGCAAAACAAAATTCCCTGACTATACAGTAAATGTGCTACACACAATTACGAGTAAATGTCATGATGACAGAAAAGATTCTTAATATTGTAAGGTAAAATAATTTGTAGCAAAGAACAAAAACCATAAATACGTAATCTGCTAATAGCCTACAGTTACAAACATAATTATAACTAAAGAGTTAGGTTGTTTAAATTTGTTAAAATTACAGGCTTGAGAAGGGTTGGGTGAAGAGGGGCTGGCCAAGAACCGCTGCTTCTAGACGTCACATTTTAGTGAGATCACGATTGTATGCTACTTTCATGTTATTTGCACGTCTATGGCTTGGTGAGATTACTGAATTCCAGCATTTCGTCTATGAACCTAACATATGCTATAAATAAAGGGAAAGTTCCTGCGATGGTGAATTTAAAATGAACATGAAACATCACTATTATTACCAAATTCAAGGACAGTTGCAAATAACCCAAAGAGTGTACTGCATTTTTGACATATGTAGCCCTCTAGGACTATACACAATACATGTTGAACGTGACTTTGAATTCTGGAAGACTGAGATGGATGAAAAGTTACGTACATTTGATATGGAATGTGTGTTGCTAGAATTAGATCTTCGTTTTTCACGTTCGATGCCCATATGAAATCCGACCATGAAACCAGCTATTACTTAGTGATGCAGTCGTGGTACTGTAACACTTGCACATTTATAGGCTGTTCACGGTAAAGTGAGCACTTTTGAAGCCCTAGTTACTTTTTGCTTTCAACCAATTTTTATCCTTCCGCCACTTGTTAATGTAAACCCTGCCAACAGTGTACACGTTCACCATAACCAAAAGTCCGATGCCACAATAAAATGAATTTATTGGTTATTATGTCTGATGAAATAGCATCAGAAAGTGCTCACTTTACCGTGAACTGCCTATAGCAAGAGTACGGCAGTAAAAATGCAAAGTTCTTTCTTCTTGTTGTAATAAGACCCACATGTAAATATACACAAAATGAGCTATATTACAAAAAAAAACCCTTTTGACAAGATAATGAGCACAATTAGACGAACCAATGACGAGGACTATTTTTTTTTCACTTACACCTGCATAAGCACTTATTTCCAGTTAGTGTTAATTTTGATACAATAATGTGTATATTATGTTCTAATATAAAAACTGAATAGTAGCAAACAAGTAGTGGTTTTAATCTAAACAATTATCGAATAATTTTTTTAATGTAATGCCTAGGGAAATTCAGAAAGTACTGCAAAAGTAATAACAATTTAAACTTTTACTGTTTTCCCTATAGATTTTGTAGAGAGCTAGCCTTTACCCGCGGCTTCGCGCGCGTGTTTATATGGATAAATAATGAAGTTTTTTGACACTAAGCCACTATTGGGTTCTCTATCCACCGAGTTTCTGCGGCCCCACTATTAGGTTTTCTACCCACTGAGTTTCTGCGGCCCCACTATTGGGTGTTCTGGCCACTGAGCTTCTACGGCCCCCTTATTGGGTGCTCTAGCCCCTGAGCTACTTGGAACAACTCTAGCTACTGGGCCACTACGGCTTTTTGGAAGGAAATATTGACATCCCATAGACAAAAAAGAAAGGATAAATGACGAATTTTTTTAAAGTCCTTTTTTAATGCAGTAATCAATCTTAATAAAAGCTTAATCCAGTACCTATTTACAAAAAGAATTTTCCTGAAGGAATGAGATATTTTCCTGGAATAAAAAGTAGCTTATGTCACTCTCCGACCCTTCAACTATATCTGTGCAAAAAATTACTTCGATCCGTTGCTCCGTTTTGACGTGAAAGGACGCACACGCACACGTTCGCATTTATATAGTAGTAAGGATGGCTGTACTATTTGTTATTTTATTTGTGTCCTCTTAGTTACACACTTCAAAGACATATTTTTTTACTGTTTGTATGTTGATTATTCTATGCACTAGTAAACATTTTCACATTTAACTGATGACATGAAAATGTGTAATGTATAAAGGTTATAATTTTCTTGCTTGTCTGTCAGTTTAGTTTTTAATCAACCAGATACAAAAATTAATCCTGTTTTGCGTAGTAGTTATCCCTGGCGATGTTATTTTTAATAGTGTTAACCAGAGCAGGCATCACTATATCAACAGGCGAATTTGTGACGCTGCCGAGGGTTGACAGCCTATGCGGGGACGGTACAGTCATGATAATGCACGGTCACGTCAACAAAACATGTTCTGACCATTTTTTTCAACAGGGTTTAGCGCATCCAAGTGCATTATTAGCCCCACATCTACATCAAATTTTTACTGAGGTAACCGTCCTGAATCGTATTTGGTAATGTGGGCCGAAGAAGGCCAAATTAGCGGCAAGAAGCAAGAAAATACTATATACCTATATAAACGAAATAGGGAACATTTTTGTGTTTTATTAAAATAGATCCCATGGTGTGAATTTTTGCTGACAACTACTTCTGTTTTGTTTAAGTGAGGTAGGTCTCTTACTTGTACATAGCTGACCGTGTACACCTCATTACTGGAGAATTTGAAACCACTGAATCAATTTAACTTGAGTAAAATTATTTTATATTTTTGAAGGCACCTTACAAACTATGAACATTATTTCGTGACATAAAGTATGGGCAATAAAGCAATGAGAGTTCAGTAATGTAGCACAAGCTTGATCACACGCACATCTTCCCCAAGTACAAGAGACTCATGCCTACTAATTAAAGTTTAACTGTAATGCAATTTTGAAGAGTAAAACTATTTTACTATTGCGTTATGAGGCAATGACGAGAAAAAAAATGTGTTTTACAGGGAAATATATTTTCACCTGTTTACAATTTCTTTAGATATAAAAAAATGTTTCTTTCATGCCAAAAACTTTGCACTGATTGTTTTTTTTTTTTACCTCTGTTTGATTTATTTGTGTCTGTGCATTGAACTTGTTTTTAAAGAGTTGTGTTGCTTGTCATGTCAGTAATGTTGCTCGAGTTATGAGTCTTACCTTCATACTATCCAATTATGTCACCATACATTGTATGGATTTACTTATGCCCAACGCCTCTACAGATATATACGTGTGTCCTTAGTATGTATGTCACTATTATTGGTTCAATAAAGTGATACATGTAATTTATTTACAAATAAATAAGTGTTTAATCATTGTACATTTCGTATTGATGATTGTGAATGTGGTAACCGTGTCGTAAATGGGTTAGAAACACCACACCAACACGAACAGGAAATTCAATATTACTAATAGTCCTACTTTCTTTTACATATCTATGCAAGTAATTGTAATAAACTTCGACTTTATCAACTCGACAGTACTTTTTCCTATATTTGGTTGTGGTCAGTAGTTGTTACTGATATACGATAGGTACATTCAAAAATGTTATTGCTGCTGTCTTCCAAAATGCCAGACAATTGAAGATATT